TAAGCTTTTTCCTTGGTCTGTGGTGGAGGCTTTGTTCTGTTGATGCCACGCATGACATCCAGAGCCCTGAGCCTGCCAGAGAGCAGTGCAGCTTGGGAACCCGACCAAAGCTCGGCCTCCTGTGGGCTCCCTGCCCAGGCCACATCTGTCAGCCGCTGGGATTGGGTGGGGTGTTAGACTGCTCAGCCAGGACTCTGGAACATTTGCCTCTAAATATTTCTAGAGGCTCACTGCAGGGATTGCCTGGGGACAGGGACCAATACGATGTGCTCAGTGCAGAGTGCTATCAGCTTCATGCTGAGTACCCAACAATCCTATAAATCATTGCTATCTGCCCGAGGTTGTGGGGATGGGATAGAGAATAGAGGCAGCCCCTCAACTATGCAAGCAGTCCCTATGGTGGGTTGTATATGGGTATCACAGTCAGGAGACCCTGTGCAATTCTGGGAGTACACGTGAGGCCTGCAAGAACCTGGTGTTGATATGTGCCAGAAAGAAGTCTGCCGCATCAAGGTACAGGTGTTTGCCAGTCCTCAGGCCTTGGCCTTGGGTCAGACTGCTAGATATGCTTCAGTTGCATGGCCCTTTCCTGTCTGCTCCAGTTTGGAGGAAGATGGTGAAAGCAGCCTTCTGGTTACCCGGAGTGGCCCTAGGACATGTGAGTCCCAGTCACAGGTCCCTACGAAGTCCTGGGGACACACACTAAGTCCACCAGAGGCCAGCAGTAACACATACCCACATTTGAGTTAGATTCCCAGAGCTTCGGCTTCCGCCTGGCAAGTCTGGAGGCTCAGTCTGTCAGTACCTGCCCAGCCCAGGGCCAGAGACCTTGGGGCCGTGTCAGGTTCTGGTTACCCGGCTCTGAACTGCTCCCAGCCTCTGGGCATGGCTCGAGATTTGCTCTCTGCTGGTGGTGGGCAGAAGGAATGACAAAGAGCACGTGCCTATGCAGAGTCCAGATATTCCCTGACCAGGTTTGGGCCTGGGCATTGGGGCAGGGGTCTTGAGTGCAAGCAGAGTTTCTGCAGTGGGGTTGGCCTGAGATTCAGTCCACTCTCCTTCTCCCAAGGAGGGATGTGTTGCTGCACACGCTACTGCTTGGAGCTGAGGGAGGGAGATGTGGACAGCCCTTTCCTCCCTGGCGTCTCTAATGCGACGTTTCCTGGTTGTAGCAGGTGGAAGCACCATAGTCTCCCACCTGGCCTCGGCAGCTCTTGTGCAGGTGACTTGGTGTGTGTAGAGCTGGCCATCTTGGCGTGTCTGAACAAAGGTGACTGCTGGAGCCTCTTCCTCTGCTGCCATCTTGGTTTCAGATCTCCCTGTTTAGATTGAAGTGAGTTAAAATATTTGGAAAAGGCAGATCTTCAGTGGTACTAGTCTCACTGCCTGTGCCTGATAACCACCCCAGCTAGAGGCTGCCACACTGGACGAGCGTGTGTACCACACGTTTGCTTCCTAGCAGGAAGTTGAGCTGGACGGCACTGATTCAGAAGGCATTCCTAGGGAAGGACCTCAAGAGGGTGGGTTGCAGCTGAACTGGCAGCCAGAGACATTGAAAGTCTGTAGCAGCTTTCATTGTTTAAAGTACGACAAGACTGAAAACAGTCCAGGAACTAGGAGAAGAAAATGAAAAACAGTCGGAAAAGAGTTGATAAAAATAAATGCTAAAAAATCGTGAAAAAGAAAACAAAGCACATGAAAACCAAAGTGATAAAGTAACACGGATTATGTATGGGCTAGAACTGTTGGAAAGGAAGTAAAAATCTGCAGTTATTAGTCACCATATTGAGATGATAATCCAGCTAAACATTGTGCAGGTTTTTGTCATTAAAACAACAACAACAACAACAGGTTCTGGTGGCTGGTGTCCTAGCACAGCTTGCTAAGCTGCTGCCTGCAGTACCAGATGCCCTGTGGGCAGCCTTTTTGAACCCCAACTGCTCTACTCATGCTCCAGTTTTCCTGCTACTGTGGGGAAGCAGCAGGTTATGATCCAGACCACTCTTGGCCATAGTGGTCATTTGGGGAGTGAACCAGCAGATGGACGATCTCTCTGTCTCTCTCTGTGACTCTGCCTTTCAAATAAAAACATCTTTTTTTTTTTTTAAAAAAAGGTTGTTTTTGTTGTTTCAGTAAGCAATAGAAAGTGTCTAAATGAATTTTTCTGCAGCTGGTCTAATCTTAAAAGCAATATAGCATAAAAAGTATTTTTAAAAAATCTGGGAATTTAGATGCAAAAAAATGTAAATATAGGCTTATGTAATCAAATACTAATAGAAGAGTAATATTTTCCCAGAATGCAAACACAACTCAGAGTAGGAAACCCACTAGTGTGATTGGATATGCCAGTTGTTCAGAAGAGCCATTTGATCCTATTAGCAGAGGCTGAAAGGGAGTTTGGTATAATAAAAACTGTTTTTAGTGTAATAAGAATTATGGTGAAACCACTCAGTTGTGAAGATTTAATGGTTTCATATATGTGATATTACTTAGAACCATGACTGATACATAGAAACTTCAGTGTTAACCATATTTTTTATTTAAATATGATAATGTTGCTTTGTAAGAGATAGCAGATACTTCATTGAATCCATAGAACATTTGATTGGACAAGACAGAGAGCCCAATCCCTGTCCCTGGTGTCACATGAAAATAACAAGGCTAGGTTGGAGGGTAAAAAGGAACAAGTGCATTCTCGCAACTGACCCCTCGCCCTCCAGAACTGGTGCCTCGGGAGCAGTTTGCTGTTCTTTATCGAAGCTGCAGCGAGGGGGCGCTAGTTTCCTAGAAATTGCTGGCGGAGTGGCAGATAATTTGAAGTAGCTCTGGGAAAAGCTCCCGCTGGTCTAGCCAGGCTCCAGGGTTGCCCTGGGATCCAGGTCTGCATGGGGAGAGATTAACCCTGTCTCTGGCTGGCTTGCTGTGTTCTGGCTGCCGAGCAGAAGTCCAGAAAAGAATTAAAGCATTCTCCTGGCATGAGCAAAAAGGAAAGCCAATGATTTGCCTCAAAGTTTAACATAATACAGTGCCCTGGAACTGTGACTCGGAAAATATCTTGTGGCCGGAATTAAAGTAGTGCGCTGTGGGAATTTACGGCCTCGCACTTGATCGTGACAGGAACCAACTCCTGCAATTTCTTTATATACCATTTACATTACTGTTTATCTAGTTATATGACTGCTGCTATTTGTATCATCTTTTGATGTGACTTGATTTCTTTAAATGTAATAAAAGTATAAAATGAAATAGCTGCTATAAATACCACAAGAGAAAATAAAATGTTTTTTAAAATTATAAACAGTATGATTATATATGTAGAAAATCCAGGGACTACACAAAGTCTGTTAAAAAGTAGTGAGTAGGGCCCGGCGTGATAGTGTGGTGACTAAAGTCCTTGCCTTGTACAGCCAGGATCCCATATGGGCGCTGGTTCTAATCCCAGCAGCTCCACTTCCCATCCAGCTCCCTGCTTGTGGTCTGGGAAAGCAGTCGAGGACGGCCCAAAGCCTTGGGACCCTGCACCCGCGTGGGAGACCTGGAAGAGTCTCAAGGCTCCTGGCTCCTGGCTTTGGATCAGTTCCGGCTGTTACAGCCACAGCAGATGGAAGATCTTCCACTCTGTTTCTCCTTCTCTCTGTACTGCATCTGCCTTTCCAATAAAAATCAAATAAATCTTTAAAAAATTAGCTAAATTAACACAAAAAAGTGGTGAGTATATTCCCAGGGGCCTTGTGATGGTAAGATAAATACAAGATAGAAGTAGTCATCCCGTGTTGAAGTAACCGTCTCCCCTTGCAGTTCCAGCTACCTGCTGGGGTGAGGGGAGCCGCAGAAGGGGGCTCGGGCACTTGCCTCCCTGGCATCCACTTGAGACTCTGGAATGGGTTCTGGGCATCTGGCTCCCGACTGGCCTTGCCTCTGCTGTTGTGCGCCTTTGGGGAGTGAACCTGTGGATGGAGAATCTCTCTACATTTCAGATAAATAAAAACTGAAAACTAAAGCAGGAAAAAAACCTTGTAAGATACAGATAAAAATCTTAAAAAAAATATTTTTTTGTTGTTCAATATTTGAGAGAGAGAAAAGTTCCCTACAGCTGGTTAACTCTCCAGGTGCCGCAGTGAGTGAGTTTGCAGCTGGGAGTCAGGGATTCAATCCAGCTGTCCCGGAGAGATGAGGAACCTGGTGACTGGAGCCATCAGCAGTGCCTCCCAGGGTCTGCCTTAGGAGAAGCTGGGGTCAGGAGTGGGGTGGGCACTGATCCCAGGTACTCCAGTCTGGCTGCAGCCCCCTCACTGCTGGGCACAGTGCCTTCCCCGCACACACAAAGTTAACAGAATGTTTTTGTCCCAGGAATATGATTAGATTCTTAAATTGAAGTCAAACCAAGTCTCAGTAAAAATTGTCAATCTTCCTAAAATTAACATGTGAATTCCATTCTAAGTGAGAAGAGCAGTACATCATTTTAGAACATGAGATGATGTTAAAGTTTATGTAGGAAGCGTTTTTTTCTAAGAATGTCCAAAAATACACTGTATATTTAATCCCACATTTTAATAATCTCTGCTCCTCTTCTGTGCTGTGGACATACATTTGTTTGGAAATCGGTAAGGAAAGAAAAGACTACCTTTTGGTGTCATTCTTCCCCTATAACTTCAGTAGAGAAGGAAATTTGTGAAGAATTGGAAAGGTGGTGCTCAGACACTGTACCTTCATATATTTTTTGAATCCCTCATTAAGAGGACCTTTAATACAGAAAATTTAACAGAAAAGAGTTCATGATTTTTCACCATACAATTATAGTTTCAGTTCAGCCGTGGAGCAAAAACACGTTGATTGACTTTGACTTTTAAGAAACTTAACCAGATTTTCTTTTTGAATACATAGTAAGAAACTGAGTTGCACTTTCCAGAGCTTTGGTGCCTGCTACAAAGGCAAGATTAATTTGTAACTAAAGGAGTGTGATAAGAATTCTTTGTTTTTCCTCTCTCTGTCTCTCTCAGGAATGCAGCCACTCATGTATTCAGTTCAGGAAGCGTTAAATGCCAGGCCATCTTGGATTCGAATGGGGACTGACATTTGTTACTATAAGTAAGTATCTTGAGATCACCAGCACATCAGACCTACAGAAAGGGGATGTTGACTTCATTATGTTTCAACTGTAAAAAGAATTACTGCGTTCCTTAGCTTGTGTTGTTGTTGTACCTAATCTTAAGCAGTTCTTTAGAGTGTGAGGTCTGCTTAGGAAGTATTGGACAGTACTTCAGGAAGCTTAATAAAATGGTGGATTTTTTCATGCAAGAAAAGTTTTGATAATCGTGTATTGTTTTTTCTTTTCATAAAACCAATCACCATGACATTTTTGAGGTCCCCTCACATAATGTTAGAAGTAAGATGTGTGTGGACAGGGAAAAGTCGGCCGAGGTCTTACCTTTGCTACTTAGTTATATGTCTTCAACTTGACTTTAAAATGAAAAATGAGAAAGTCCATCATTGCCAATTCACGGTGGTGTTATGTTCCTGTGGCAGCAAATAAATTTCTTACATTTTTCTCTTATGTTGATATTTACTTCATTTTGATTTCCAAAATATCAAAAATCCCGGGATCACGTGTCTTGTGTTACAGTTGGGATGCAGCGCTGATGACTTGGGCAGGGCCTGGCTCGATGTTGGCAGTTATTTAGATGACGAGGGGGAGGCGTTTTGAAAGCTGTGTTGTATCTTTCCTGCCTCTCTGCTTTTAGAGGGTTGTCATCTGTCCAGGAATTGATAGAAGCCTGAGGAACTGTTCTGTGTGAAGGATGATGGCAAGGTTTTGTGATAGCTTTCGTTTTTGCTTTTTTTTTTTTTTTCCCCCTTGGCTGCTTTCTGATCTGAAATTGGAGTTCAGTTTCATTTACCGTTTATTAACCGTTTTCCATATGGACACTGTTCCAGCTAACTTCCTGAAGCCTGCTTACACTTCTTGTGGTACACATTAAAATCTACTTGTCCTGTGTGCTTCACTTTTCATGTCAATTATCTGTTGCTTGTTTTTTTTCACGGAAGCAGAATAAAACTGCATTTCATCGTCATGTGAAATAACGTGTTTTACTGAATTACAGTGTATAAACTGCCACAGAGCTACTGTGTGGTGCCGTGCGTACCTCTCCAACCATATTTTAACCTTTTTTGGGAAGAGTTGGCAGGAAGTGGTTCTTGAACCTATTTTGTATATTTCTTAATTCTTACTGCCTTATCATTGGATATATATAAGATAAGACTATACCAGCTTGAAAATACCTTGAGCTTTTTTTGTGCATAAATAAATAACCTATAGGCCTCTGATTTTTCTTAAGTTGAGGTTTAACTGATCCAAGATAATTTGGAATTTCAGAAATAAAGTTGGTAAGCATAACCTCTTTAAAGCAGCCTGTGTCATTCGCCTGGAAATAGTCTAAAAAACTTCCTACTGTGGAAGTCTTCAGACATGTACATAAGCAGAAAATAGAATCTTGAGGCCCCATGTGCTCCCACTATTTCAGTCATTTTCGGTACATGGTGAATTTTGTGTTGGCAACACTTTTTCTCCTGCTACCATACTGAGCCTCTGAAGTTGTTTCCGGGTTACATATTTTATCCGTACTTAAAAATGTATCTCGGAAAGGTTAAGACCTGTTAAGGCCATCTAAACACAGTACCATTATGATAGCTCAAAAAAAAAGTTTGAGAGAATTCCTTAATGAGATGAAAAGCCCAGTCCGTGTTCAGTGTTGCCCAGCTGCCTCACAAATACTGTTTTATAGTTGATTTGTTTTCATCAGAATCCAACCAAAGATTCCACATTGCATTTAATTTTTGTTATGTCTCTTAAAATTTTCTTAAATTTATGAATTTATGATCTCTTTTTTTTTGCTTCTTAAAATTTCTTGTTCATTTGTAAAGGAAACTGACTTATTCACTGTGAAAATTTTTTCACATTTGGATCCTATAAATTGAATTCCAGAGGTGTTAAATTTTTCTCCTTTCTCCTTCCTCCTTTCTCCTTCCTTGGCCCTCCTTCTCCCTTCTTCCTTTCGCCTTTATCTTCCCTCCATTCGTCCATTCATTCATCCAGTCACTTGTTGAAAAGTCATAGAGTGAGGGAGTGGTCCATCCCCTTGATGGCAAGGGCTGGGGGTCAGGCTGAAGAGCAGCCCGAAGCTTCATCTGGGTCTCCCACAGGAGCGACAAGAGCCCCAAGTACGTGGGCTGTCCGCTGCTTTTCCCAGGCCATCAGGAGGAACTAGATCAGAAGTGGGACATTCAGGACATGAGCAGCCCCTCTATGAGATGCCAGCACCACAGATAGTGGCTTTTTCCACTGTGACGTAGTGCTGACTTCAGCAAATTCTTCTGTGTATTACTTTATTGATTCAGCTGGTTATTCGGAAAGCTTAATTAGTCTCAGTTGTGGTTTTTGGCAAGCATACAACAGAGGTGGTACAGGGACTTTCTATTGTATCACATTAGGAAACAAGGTTATCTTTGATGATTTATGGCTTTTGTAATTTTAAGATTGATTAATGCAGTCAGCTATTGTGACCTGACAAATCCACCATAAAACGTGTGTTATTATGTGCTTTTTTTTTTTCTACTTCTTCATCAGATGTTTGTAAAAGCCTCTGATGATCATTGCCTGGATTCAGTAATATCATAAAACCTGCAGGTGGAATTTTTAGTTCTTACTGATGTGTATTAGCTCCATTCAAGTGTAAATCCAGACGTGACAAATGTTGGCCTTGACTTGTAATAACAAAATGGTTTGTTAGCACCTAGTCTTTTTTTTGTTGTTAAGAAAAATTTTAAGGAATTTATGACTTAAGATTCTCAAGGTCATTGTATATGTGGACAAAGTAAACATTTTCTCCGTTTCTGTTTCAGAAATCACTTCTCAAGAAGTTCAGTTGCAGCAGGTGGGCAAAAGGGAAAATCCTACTATACAATTACATTCACTGTCAACTTCCCCCATAAGGATGACGTTTGCTACTTTGCCTACCACTATCCGTATACGTACTCCACCTTGCAGGTGAGAACCCTTCAGTTGTACTGTGACTGACACTGTGTTGTGTACATTGCGTCAGACAGCTGAAGCAGAGTCCTTTCAGTTGGATGTCACAATCAAACGAGAAAGATTCAGTGTTGGAATGTTTTGGAAAACACGACAGAACTTATTGAAAACATTGAAGGGAATAAAATGGGAATGTGGTCTGCTTTTTTAAATAAAATTATTTTTGATGATGTTTACGTAGTTGAAATGGTTGAAAATGCCCATGTGGATCACTAATTAGGGTGGGAAGGGTCAAGGATTAGGGGAGAGTGGGTAAGTTTCTTTTTCTTCTTTTTCTTTTTTTTCTTCTTCCTGTTAACTGAGGAAAGGGTGAGAAAAGGGAAGAAGCTGCACCCAGCATCCTAACTGCCTCAGTCCCCAGGGCTGGGGAATGGCCACCCAGTTTCATCCCAGGGTTCCCAAGGTTGAACATGCTCCAAGGGGTCTGCTTAAGTGGTTTTGATAGTTCTAAAATGCTGTTGATTTTGTTGCTCCAAGGATGAAGAAATACTCCAAGGTCCATTGGCTGACATAGTCTACCTTAGAGTCTCCATTCACCCAGATATTTGCATCAACGCTTGGCTGGGGTAGTTGTCCAATTTATTCTGCCCTCCTTCCTCTGCTATGGTATTAGAGTCCTCTGCAGGTCCCCATGGACTGCTATATTCTCATTTGACATGCTGTCTACTATTCTGTCTTAGCAACTGAGGAGGCCCAGTTCTGACACATGCACTCTATGGTCAAACCACAGACTCTGATTTTCGTTGTGATTGGAGTTCTGAGTCCAGTGATCCTGTTAGGGGAGTCCCCTAAAAATCCTCACCTGAGGTGACCCCAACTTGACTCTTGTGTGTGGGCCCGTCACCCACATCAGCTAATCACACAGGGGTGGTTGCAGTTTCTGGATCAGTTCTGCTTCCAGCCTCCTGTCTTACACAAACCAATGGATGCAATGGGCTAGACCAACCCAGCCCACCACACACTCAGCCCTCATGTACAGTAGTGGAAACTGTGGCTAGTTGGAGCAACCCCCAAAAGATGCTTCTCAGACCCGCCCCCAGCTCTGGTTCCTGCATGTGCTGATAAGTTCAGCAGACTTGTCCGGTCTTTACTGCATCTCATTCAGCTTCTGTACACACGGGCTGGTGCTGCAGTCTGTCTCAGCCCAGCCAGTCCCACTATCCAGCCCACAGTTATGCTGGTGGGTACTACTGCCTGTCCAGCCAGGTCCACCCCCCAGCCCTGCTTCTCATGTTCACGGGTGGGAACTGCAGCCCATCGGAGAGGTGCCCACCAGTTTTTTCTACAAGGCCCCCTCCCAGTCTCATATCTTGTTCTTTCCAGGTGGTTCTACAGTGTAACTTCACAAGACTTGCCCCCGTCCCTAGCACTTGCCAGCTGATTATGCAGCAAAGCCTGATCAGCCTGCATTTATTCTGGTTCATGCATACACCAGTGGGTACAGTCTGTTAACCCAGCTTGACTCTCCCCCTAAAATTGCTCACGTGCAGGCCAATGGATGCTGCAACCATGCTTAGTCTGGTCTACCCCTGTCCCAGTTCTCATGCTTACCAGCAGGAGCAGTGACCTAGCAGGGGAGCGCTTGCAGCTTGCCTCATGCTGGGCTCACCCCCAATTCAGGGTCTTACATGTGCTGGTGGGAGCTGGGGCCCAGTCTGGAATGGCCTGCCTCACCTTGGCATTTGCCAGCAGGTTCTGCAGCCTGGCCTGGTCTGGTCTGCCCCCAGTTCCAGCTCATGTTCATGGGTGCTATAGCCTAGCCCAACCTGGATGGCCCCAGTCCCAGCCCTTATTGTGAACTGGCTGATGTTGTGTCTCAACCTGGCCTGTCCTGCACTTCATCCTGGTTCTCAGATCTGCCAGTGAGTATTAGGAACTGGCCCAGGTAAGCCTGCCCCTACACCTGAGCCATTTTTATGCTAGTGGGTACTGTGGCCTGGTCAGGGCTGCTCCCTGTCTTGGTTCTTATGCTCACCTGCAGGGACTGAGTCCTGACAGAGGAGTTCCCTAAGCTCCTCTATAAGGTCTCCTCCTAGTGGCAGATCTTGTGCACACCAGTGGGTCCTTGCCCAGCACCATTGGGTGCTGGAATCTAGCCCAGTCTGGCACACCCCAGACCCAGTCCACACCATGCTGAGGGACACTGCAGCCATGTCCCACCCAGAGCACCCCATTCCAGCAATTGCTCTCATCAGTGGGAACTACAATTTAGCTAGTGCATCCCCTTCCCAACCAAGCCTGTTCCCAGCCACATATCTTGTGCATGATGATGATTGCTGTGATGCAGCTCAGCACAGTCCATCACCCGGCTTGACCTTTGCCGTCAGATGCCATAGCCTGGCCTGGCCCAGCCAGCACCGGATCTCTTGCTGGTGGGTGCCACAGCCTAGCCCTGCCCAGTCTGCCCCCATCCCTGGGTCAAGAAAACCAGTAAGTGTGGTAGCCTAGCCCAGCATGACCCACACTCCAGCCTAGCTCCTGCACGTGGCGGTGTGCTACTGTTTGGCCTGGCCCTGCCTGGTCCAGCCCCCTCCTGACACCCCGAACCGACCCACACCCTTGCTAACAAATGGAGCTGCCTTGCCCAGCCTGACCAACACCCAGGCCTGAATTACATGTCCGCCAGTGGGAGATAGAGCACACTAGGGAAATTTCCCAAGTTCCCCACCAGGCCCAGTCCCAGACCCAGATCCCATATGTGCCAGCAGCTGCTAGGCCCTTACCTGCAGTTATGGGATACGCCCCCTATATCCCGACCTTTGTATGAGCTGGTTGATGTTGCATTCTGGTGTGCTCCGCACCCTATTCTTGGGTGTGCCTGTGGGTGCTGCAACCTGGATCATCCTGGCTGTTGCCAAGTCCAGCACCCATGAGTGCAGGAGGATTCCATGGTCACGCCTGACTCAACCTGTCACCACCACCAGCTCCCAAGCAAACCAGCAGAAATTGCTGTTCCACAGGGGAAAGCCCACAATGCCCCTTATAAAGAGACATTGAGGGAATTTAACATGAATTATATTTCCCATTTTGTATAGAAAACTATAAAATGGGGCTCCATTATAACTTTAGGTGGGATGACTACTTCTTTAATCAGAAGGATTAGAAAAATAAGGACACAGTATAAATTTTTCTGTAGCATATGGTTTCATTGTGGAGTACTAGATTTAGATTTTCTTAAAATATGGAGTTACAGAAGTTGTATTGTCAGACTGTTGGTGACTTTTTTTTTTTTAAAGATTTATTTTTATTATTTTTTTATTGGAAAGGCGGATATACAGAGAGGAGAGACAGAGAGGAAGATCTTCCGTCCGATGATTCACTCCCCAAGTGAGCGCAACGGGCCGATACTATGCCGATCTGAAGCCAGGAGCCTCTTCCGGGTCTCCCACGCGGGTGCAGGGTCCCAAAGCTTTGGGCTGTCCTCGACTGCTTTCCCAGGCCACAGGCAGGGAGCTGGAAGGGAAGCGGGGCTGCCGGGATTAGAACCGACGCCCATATGGGATCCCGGGCGTGCAAGGCGAGGACCTTTAACCACTTGCGCCACCCACCGCGCCGGGCCCTGTTGGTGACTTTTTAATATTTGTGTTATGAAACAGAATCCAACTGAGGCAGTGAGAGCAGAGTATCCTAATGGCCCAGAATCGTGATAAAATAATACGTTTTCCAGGGAAGAATTTGAGTACTGTGATGAGAAATAGGTTTCTAAAATTATTAGGGAGAAGGTGGGGTGAAAGAAACCCAACTAATAGGGCAGAGAAAGTGAATGAAGGCTGAAAATACTAGATGTGTTTCAGTAAAGTGTACACCTACAGTAAGGGTCTGCTCCTGCTGTGATCAGGTGTGCTTCTCTGAGCTGTCATACCGTTAACATTGATGGTGCCTCACAACATGGTGGTTCTACTACAGGGTAATTTATTACAGGAATCCAAGTACAGATGTGTCTGAATACGCACTCAGTGTTTTATTTGCACAGTTATGTTGGTTTTTTTTTTTTTTTTTTTTACTAATCTTCACTTGATACTGTATTCCGACTTCTTTGTCCTAGGCTTTACCTCTCCGGGCATTGCCAGTATCTCTCACCTCAAGCTCTGTTAATCTCTTCCTAACTGATGTCGTTATAATCACTTCTCTGCCTTTGTAAGCAGTGTTTTCTCCACACTGCTCCCAGGGGCTCTTGGATGACAAATCTTTCCACAAATACTCTGCTTAAAACTCTTTAGTGATTTCTTTTGCCCTTGGTATGAAGACTTTCATGCAAAGTCTATCATGCTTCTTTCTGTCTCTTCTGTGCTATTTTTCACGTTTTTTGGACATAACCACTTGTTGTTTGCACTGTTATTTATTTAGTGTTTATCTCCAAGCACACTTTAAAATGGTTCACTCTTTAAAATTTATGCTGGTCTGTGACTGGCACAGCCTATAAAAATACCACCTACATCCCAAGTGGAGAACAGTTCAAGTCCTGGCTGCTTCACTTCCAGTCTAGCTCCCTGCTAATGGGCCTTGGAGAGCCACCAAGGATGGCCCAAACCCGCGGGCCCTCGTGCCCACGTGGGAGATTCCTAAAGAGCTTTGGGCTTTGAACCAGCTCAGCTCCAGCCATTGTGGCTGCTTGGAGTGAACCGGCAGAGGGAAGGTTCTCTCTCTCTGCCTCTGTAACTCTGCCTTTCAAATAAATAAATTTAAAAATATTTTTCAGATCCTATATTAAAATACATGGACTAGGAGATTTAATGTATTTGACTTCTTTCTAATTCATATTCCTACAAAGGCATTTCAAAAAAATTATGGAAAATGGAATTAAAAGCTAAGTTTATTTTGGTGTGAACAGCTTGGAATCTATATATATATCAGGGGGTCGTTAAAAAGTTCATAGAAAATGCATGTGAACAACTATGCATGGATTTCAACAATGTTTTACACTAAGATACATTTATCTAGCAGTTCCATTTTCCTTGAATGTTTTCAAGTAGCCTGCATTAACATTTTTGAAAAGTATTTATGTATCATTTAGTTATCTCAGTTACTAAGAAGTACCTTGACTGTGCTTTGGGCAAGGCCATTCCGTCACTCATTCCGTAGCAGGTCTTGGTTTTTCTTACCCTTGTTCTTTGTACTCTAGTTACTAGGAACCTCAGTGAGTTGTTTTTGAAATGCCTTTGTTCTGTCTTGTCTCCTGTCCTTTCTCTTTCTCTTTACTTTGCAACTCTCATCTTGTCTACTGCACTCATCCTTTAGGTCTCAGTTTGTGCATGGTTTTCTCTGTGAGAGCTGGCCTCACCGTCTAGACTCAGCTCGATTCGCTCTGCTTAGCAGCTCTCCTAACACTCTGTGTTTCCCTAGGGCATGGGATTCATGTATTGGTGCTATCCCCACGCCCCACACAGTTTCTAGCAAATGGTGAACCTTTAGTCACTACTGATTGTATGAATGACTCTAGGTGCAAGTTTGAAAATCAACTAAGTACCTAAAAGAAGGAAATGGGCAAGAGTTGGTATAACTGTATAATGAAACCATCAAAATGTGTGTGTTCAAAAACACTTAACATGTTCAGTGGTATGATATGAATATGTGTGTCTGTGTGCACTTATGAGTTGATAAGATAAGATTATAAAAAGTGTGATCATATATTCACACTTTGCTTATATACATTGCTTTTTAAAATAATTTAGGTGTGTAATTGGCAGATGTTTACAACACTTTGGTGCATTTTACAACGAACCTGTGTTAATCTTGAAATTGGGAAAATATGTTGTTAAAAATTAGTGCTGTATCACATATTCTTCAACTTGTAGGTTGGTTTTACAAGTCTGTGGTCACTTTGCTGAATATCCTGAGAGTAAAATATGTTTTGAAAATCAAAAGCTTTTTTTGTAACACATTCATGAACTGATAGGAGCTTGTTTGGGAATACTGGTGACTCTGCTGTGTGTGTTACTGCAGAAGTAATTACAAGTATATCATGGGCTGCTGCCCATGACCTTGCTGGTAGTGTTGCCCGATTCAGGAATGTATAAGGTGTCAGCTTCGTCGATTGCCCCTGGTGCTGATGTTTGAACCACATCTGGTTCAGAGCGTTTTAGTTAGGGGGTTAATAATCTGGTTCACTCCTAGTTATCGGGAGAGCTGGAGGCATTATTTTTATATATCATAGAGTTGTAAATAATCATATACATTGCTTTTGCGTTTTTATCAAGATGCATCTTCAAAAATTGGAGTCCGCACACAATCCTCAGCAGATCTATTTCCGCAAAGATGTGTTATGTGAAACCTTGTCTGGAAACACCTGTCCCTTGGTGACCATCACAGCAATGCCGGAGTCTAACTATTACGAACATATCTGTCAGTTCAGTAAGTCTACTTCACTCGAAACATCTTCCTCCACTTGTTTTTCTAGGTCTTACGTGTATTTTATAATGGAAATAATAGTAGAACAAGGATCAAAAAGTGTAGCTGCCAGTTCTCTCAGGCCTGAGGTTCATTCTCCTGAAGGCGAGGGAGCCACGTGAGATGTGCTATCTAGTCTCTGGTGATGGCAGTGATTTTTGTTCTTGTTCTCTGAAGTCACGTTTGGCATAGACTGCGGCACAATGTCTTGGGGATTCATGTGACCGTTACCATTGGTTTACAGAGTAACAACTGGTTTTATTTCTAAGTAAAATAACCAGAAATATCCAATGTCTTACTGAACACAGGATAGTTACTTGCTTTTCCGTTCCATTTCTGTTTTTAAAAATTGTCTCAAACGTATGGCTGTGATGGTAAAAAAAAAAAAAAAAAAGAAAAAATATTCCATTTTTTTTTGTAAGAAGGTAAAATATTTTCAGGAGAGAGAAAAAGCCTTTTATGGTGATGAGCTTTGTAGACTGGTGTAGTGTACCTAAATACAGGCAGAAAATACTTTTTGTCTTGCTAAGTCTTCGATCAAATATGCTGCCTTCTGCTGTGCTGCTTAGAGTGTAATATAGGGTGATTTTCTATTATGCTCATGATTATATGAAAAATAATTCTATGCCTCGTTTCCCTAACCTAACCACTTGTTCTTTCTTTAAAAAAAAATTCAAAATTATGTAATAGAACTAACTTTACCTACTGGTTTAATCATGAGGAGATAAATAAGTGACTGACAGGCAACTTGTTTAATATGGCATTCTCCGCATGTTTAAGATGCGATTTAGATTGCTTTCATATTCGTTTCCTCTGAGGAGTCTAGTGTAGCAGTTGGCTTTAATAGATGCATGGTCAGTTCTGCTATGAATTTATATTCAAATTCATGATCCAGTAGAGTCATTTCTGAACCTCCAAACTTAGTAGCCGATCATTGTGACTTGAGATTTTTTTTTTTTAATTCAATAGGAAATCGCCCTTACATTTTCCTGTCGGCTCGGGTACATCCTGGAGAAACTAACGCAAGCTGGGTGATGAAGGGAACATTGGAGTATCTCATGAGTAATAACCCTACTGCTCAAAGCTTACGAGAATCTTATATTTTTAAAATTGTCCCAATGCTCAATCCAGATGGTGTCATCAATGGAAAGTAAGTTAAGCAATAATTTAAACACTGTAGTTTGCTGTGTCTGTCTTGTATATAAAAGTATTGAAGTGATAGCATCTAAGTTAATTTGAGAAACAAAGTAGTGATTTTTCTCTAACAGATTTTAGATAAGGAAAGCTGATAAACTTTTGAAAATGTATTTTGTACGTATTTTGTATATTTTATGAAATTTTGTATCCATTGGCCTATAATTTCATAAAACGTGTGGGTCTTGAATTGTTTTAGAAAAAGGAGAGTCAGAATGTGAGAAAGACTTTTAATGCCTACTTCTCATATTCCTTTTTTATTAATTGTACAGTTATTGTTCTGAGATAGGGAAGCTTCTAGAATCTTTCCATTGGTAAGGAAACGCAGTCCCAGCTGCTAATGGCTTTCCATACACAGAAGTGTAGTTGCTAACAGAAGGAAGTCTACAGACCGGATGTACGGGACGATGGTTGCCTTTTAAGCAAGAAGACTAATGGTTGATTTTTTCTGGCGACTGGCGATTTTTCCTCTGGTGCTTCTCTGTGTGATTTGCTGTAGCTTCTGTGAGCATCTCCAAAAGAGAACAATACTGTATGTTGCTCTGTGTTTCAGTTAGGGAGCTAATTTGATGTGTTTTCTAGCACAGAAATGTGTGGGCCAGTCAGAATGCTTGATTTCTGTTTACACCTGGTGACTTGCTTAAGGTTTTGCTCAGTGGCTTTAGTATTTAATACCTACAAATAAGCAAAAGTGCACCTGAACTTTTACAATAACGTGAGTACTGTTTATGCTTCTCAGAAAGAGGGTTCTTAGAACTTATACAGTCAAAATATGGGATGTCAGCATAGCCAGTGCACTGATGTACTCAGAATGGAAGATGTGACCGTTAATCAGTTTTATAAAGGGAACAAAATACTCAGAATTGAGTGTCAGTTTTCATGCAGTTAGAAAATCTTCATTATGAATCTGAAAGCTTACCGTAGCCAGCTGCGTCTGACACGACATCTTGCATACGGCAAACCCTAACGTTCTGATGAACAGAGCATGTATTGGGTAGTAACCTAGTGAATCCAGGTGAGCTGTGCCGACCACCTACACCGATTTGGAATACTCAATTGAATGAAACCATAAAGTGAAATTAGAAGTGTTTAAAAGATTTATTGGGAGCAGTATTTTCCATCTCTGTTTTTTTGTGCATGTAGTCACCGCTGTTCTTTAAGTGGAGAGGATTTAAACAGACAGTGGCAGAGTCCCAATCCTGACCTGCACCCCACAATCTACCACGCCAAAGGGCTGCTGCAGTACCTGGCCGCAGTGAAGCGCTTGCCTCTGGTAGGTGGAAGTGCTTGCCTTTATTCTTTATAACCAATGAATGTTTTCGTGGATTAATTAGTGGACTTGGTATTTTGAACATATCATCTGTTTTGTAAAAACTAATTGTTAATGATTTCAAAAGCAACTTCTTTAAACTGCCTCTTTATTAGTTTCTCATGTAATAATTTTGGTCTCAGATTATTCACACTATGCTCATATTCTTTTGGCAGATGGGTTGCTTATAATCTTCATGTATTTTGTTTATGGCTTCTGAGCATTGATAATTCTTGAATAAAAATGTCAGGTCTCTAACTTTATTGTTAAATAGCGTTAAGGTAACAGTGTGTCTCCCACATTCTCATTGGTGGGAACTTACGAGTATTTCTAGAGTTTGTCCTCAGCTCTGAAACTGAAGGCTCTAATTCTCACATGGGGCATGTAGTGCCAGTGTGTTGTGAGACTGTGCTGAACTGCGTGTTTACCAGCTTTTCATCAGAATATCCCTGCTAAGTCCATGCTTAAATTTGTAATCCTCCTCGAGGATGTTATAAAAAGTATAGAAGTGCAAAATTGACATGTGACTCTAGTCTTTATTATGCACTTTAAAAATGCTGCGCTTGGGCCCGGCGCGGTGGCACAAGTGGTTAAGGACCTCGCCTTGCACGCCCGGGATCCCATATCGGCGCCGGTTCTATCTTGGCAGCCCCGCTTACCTTCCAGCTCCCTGCCTGTGGCCTGGGAAAGCAGTTGAGGACGGCCCAAAGCTTTGGGAACCTGCACCCGCGTGGGAGACCCGGAAGAGGCTCCTGGCTTCAGATCGGCATAGGATTGGCCGTTGCGCTCACTTGGGGAGTGAATCATCGGACGGAAGATCTTCCTCTCTGTCTCTCCTCTCTGTATATCTGCCTTTCCAATAAACAAAATAATAAAAATAAATCTAAAAAAAAAATGCTGCTCTTAATGAAATCAGCGGCATCTCAGAATATCAAAACCACTTGAGCAGTGTCTCAGAACACACTCCACCCCAGGAACCCTGGGGTGGCATCACGTGGCCTTCCCCTGTTCCTGGGTACTCATGTGCTTGGGCTGCTCGGAGCTGCCCTCTCCCCTTCTCCTCACGTTCCCCAGATACAGGAAGAAAAAAAGAGATTTGGAGACAGTTGTTTCATCCATTTTCCCCCATTCCTCAACCCTCCCCACCAAATCGGTGGTCCACATGGGAATGCATCCTTCTCAACTACGTAAACATCATCAGAAATAAAATGAATTTATTATTTTTAAAAAGGCTACTCATAAAAATCAAATAAAAAAACCATACTCTTTTTATGATGCTTTTCATGAGAACTTTTCAGTATTCTTTTTCATTAGGTAAATGTCTTAACCGCCTTTTGAAGCTGTATTGACCGCTGACTGTGGATTTGAGCTGTGATTGGATTTTTTAAGCCATAGATGGTAGATACGAAAGGAAGAGTGGGACTGGTGCTTGATGTGGGGTCTTCAAAGCATTTAGCAAGTCTAGGGTCAGTTATAAATCCTTTTCCAAGCCAGGTGATATCACTTTTATTTTATTATTTATTATTTATTTTATTTAAGTGATTCTGTTACAATTAAAAGAAACAACAGCAACCAGGAACACAGACTTGTGTGTTGGCCTGATGCGACCCACCTTTACTTGGCCATATAGGAAGCAGAAGACTTGTTTTTAATTTGTTATTTTTTTCCCCAAGGTTTATTGTGACTATCATGGCCATTCCCGAAAGAAGAATGTATTTATGTATGGCTGCAGCATCAAGGAGACAGTGTGGCACACCCACGAGAATGCGTCTTCATGTGATGTTGTAGAAGATACGGGATACAGGGTAATTAGGACAGATGACTATTGCATTTTTATATGCCAAATGTGTACAACTACAGAAAAACATGAACTACTCATATTCACGAATGCTGACATTTTGCCGTTCACAGTTTGTCGTCGTCGTTGCTGTTGAAGGTTTTGTATGTTACACTTGTATTGTTCATCTGTTTGGAATGTGTTTGTGTGTGGGATGTGAGGATGTGGTCTTATTTTCCCCGTGGCTAGCAGGTATCTCAGCACCATTGATTCAGGAGTGCCGCCTGTGCTGACTGCACGAGGCCCTCTGCTACAGGGCTGTTACTGCTGACGTGGTTCTGTCCCTTTGCATGCCAGCATTTTAATATGTGAAGTTGCTATTGATATCTGCTAGGGCAAAATTTCTTTCTTGTTCTTTTTAAAAAATTGCCCTGACCCTTTCATGTCTGTTATTCTTTGTGAATCGTGGGATCAGTTTGTAGGTAAACTTTGTTGGGATTTGAATCAGTTACACTGAATCCAAATTGCAGAGAATTATAATACGTAGCCTTGCTGTGTGTGAGCATTGCCTTTCTGTTCAGTGTATTCTTTTGTATTCTTCAATAAGGATACGATATAGCCCCACCGAGGTCAGGTATTTTTATTAGACTTACTCTCAAATGCTTTGTGAACGTAGTTAGCGTTGGGGATGGGTGATTTGCCCCACACACCAGCCTGCCCACGCTTGATCCTTACAGTGCACAGGAAAGCTGTTGTCTGTTCTCAGAACTCCCCACCCTGCTTCAGCTCTCTGCTATGGGTACCAGTGGGAAGGGCATGAGGTTTCTCAGTGGCAACACTGACAGCCAAGAGGAACGGTGCCTTCCCAATTCTCAGATGGCCAATCTGTACATTTCATACCTCAGTCTGTCTGTCAGTGTAGAAGTGAAAAGGAAATTCTCAGGTTTGGAAAATCATAAAAATTCACATCACAGCCAGCCTTTTACTGGGAATTACTGGAAGATAATTCTCACCAAAATGAAGCAATGTTGTGTAGCAGGGGAAGATACAAGGAAATGAAATTCAACAGAGACAAGGCCTGGATTACAGGGGATAGGCAGTGAAATCATGTGTGGAAAACGCCAGTATTTCAACACTCGGCAGGGCCTCCACCTTGTGCCACCTCCAGAGGCTGCAGAGCCCGGTGAGGTTAGGCCACACGAAAGGAGGGAAGCAGTCAGTCAGCAGTGCTCAGGGATGTAAAAGAGAAATGAGAATATTCCAGATAGGGCGTGATGCAGTAGCCTAGGGGTTAAAGTCTGCCTTCTACATGCCAGGATCCTATATGGGTGCTGGTTCACATCCACTTCCTATCCAGCTTCCTGCCTGTGGCCTGGGAAAGCAGTCAAGAACGACCCAAAGCTTTGGGACCCTGCACCTGTGTGGGAGACCCGGGAGAGGCTCCTGGCTCCTGGTATTGGATTGACTCAGTTCTGTCCATTGTTCTCACTCTTCTCCGTGTATCTGACTTTCCAATAAAAATAAATAACTCCTTGAAAAATAGTATTTAAGATAAACTATGTTGGAAAAGCTGGAGAGGCTGAGAAGGTGAGAGAAAGCTGTACTCTTCCGAGTGCTGTGCTCTGGGGCCCACCGCCGTTGTCACCCCTGCTGCTCCGTCATCTCTAGCGTCTCGGGGAATGCTCAGTGCACCTGCTGCTCTGCATCACAAGACAGAAAATGTATTTTGTGTTTGTTATTCATCTGTTTGCATTAGTTTTCTTGCCCTGTGCTCTCTGTATTTGATTAATCCTCCAGATTTTGGTGTGATGACATGAGTTAGAATGCATGATTTGTCTTCTTCCCCACAGAACATTCCTCGGGATGCTAACAGGTATTTCAAGCTGTTCCCTCTCCCCCCGCCCCCCTCCCCCAGCCAGGAGTTTAATGAGCAGGGTGGCTGATGATTGCATAGAGGGCTCCTCAAGGTTGTCAAGGGCAGCATGTGTGTGTGTGTGAGAGAGAGAGAGGGAGAAGCATTTTTATAAAGTTTCACAAATATGGGGCTTCAACAGCATGTTCTCAGCTTCCAGTTCTTTGGATCAGAACACTGGGCTCGGTTCTCAGTATGCACAGACCTGCATCTTTTTGGAGTGTCTAAGGACGGTCTGTGTTTGTTGGTGTCCTGTCGCTTTCAGCCCCTGTCAAGGTCCAGCGAGCTCTGCTTCGCTTTTCACAATCACCTTCTCCGCTTCTCCTGCTTCCACTTCCCCTTATGAGGTCCTCTTGCAATGACCTTGAGTCCACCAGCACAATCTTCCTTCTAAACGTCTTTAAGTCACACGTGGACAGCGCCATCTGCCTTGTCAGCTCTCATAGTCCCTGGGTGTGAATTAACATGAGAGCGTCTTTCCACGGGCCACTGTTCTGACTCAGTACCATGGAACCTTTTTTTTCCCCAGATAATTTGATGAATTAATACACACATAAATGCTGGGATTCTAAAATTAATATAAAATACAAATCATAGTACTCCTTTATCCCTTTTAGTGCATATGCTTATGTTTTGAATACGAATACAGAAAATTATAGAGTGTGTGTCAAGGAGTATTTGATACATCATTGCCAGAAATGTTCAGATCAGGAGAGCTGAAGAGCACAGCAGACTAAGGAGATAAGATAGTCACAAACTGCCTGGGATTCTGAGCGGGCTCCCAGAACCAGGAGCAAGACGTTAGCAAAACCGATAAAACTGCAAAGAGGCCTGCAATTTTGGCAGTGATATTCAATTTGCATTAGTTTTTTTGGTTCAGTAGGGGTTGAGACCTAGCCTAGTCTGTCCCACATCTACCCTGGTCCTTCAGAACACCAGAAGGTGTTGCAGTCTGGCCTAGCCTGGTGCGTCTTATCCCAGTCCACACTTGTACCAATGGAGACTACAGCTGTATCCTGACCAGAACGCAGCCCCATTCCAGCCCGTGCACCCCCTAAGTGGGAACCTATACCCAGCTAGGGTGTCCCCTTAGGCCCCCAACTAGGCCTGTTCCCAGCCATAGATCGCACTCATGCCAATGGTTGCTCTGACTCAGCTTGGCACAGCCCCTCACCTGTTGTGACCCCTGCCTTAGACATTGTGGCTCAACATCTGTGCCTTATGTAGACCAATTGGTGGCAAAACCTAGCTGGGTATGTCCTGTGAGTGTGTCCCACTGGCATACATTTGGCATGGGTCAGGGGCAGACCAGGCTGAATCAGTTCACGTCATCCACTGGCAAATCCAAACACCAGAACATAGTGTGGGTCAAGCCAGGTTCGGTCGTGACAAAAGCAGTACACAACACGGAATGCCAAGGTGAGGTTGCCTGTGCCAGATGTGACTGCAGCACCCAACCAGCACACGTGAGAACCAGGAAGGGAGGGGGCAGAACCGGCAGGGGAATAAGGAGTGGTTCCCTTGCTGGACAGCTACTCCCACTGGAGAGCGTGAGCTGGGATTGGGGTAGACCAGACTAGGCAGGGCTATAGTGCCTGTGCACCTCATGTAGACCTGGTCAGGGGAAAACCAGGCTGGCCTGATTATTCCTATTGATGCAATCTACAGTTGGAGTGGGTGGGGGTTGTTTGGGCTTAGCCACAACATCAGCGGGCAGAAGCTGGCACTGGGGGCTAGTTCTGTCTTATGTTGGCAATGAAAATACTGGGCAAACGGAGACTATATGATGGACTGTGTCAGTCAGTGGATTCTCCAACGACCTCATCGTACTTGGAGTGGTGAGAGTGGCCGCAATTCAGAACTGTTGAACTATCAAAACCACTTGAGCAAGACCCGTGGAGCATGCCCCACATCTGGGACCTGGGGTGGGTAGGAGACTGGGTGGGGCTTCTCCCTTAAAATCTCCTTTTACATCAGATATATTAAGGAAACAAACAAAAAAAAAATGAACTGAAAAATGAACTAGTAAAAAAAAAATCAATGTTCTTAGATAAAAAAAAATCTCATTGGTTATTAAAAGTTTCAAAGATGTTTAAATTTACACATATAATTAAATGTTACTATTGTTGGCTTTTAATCATGTGTTGTTGAGAAAAGATACTGCTCTCTTTATTCTGTTTTGGTCGAAAGTATAACATGTAATTAAGGGTATACATAAAATACAATTTTCTAGGATTTTGAATTTAAAAAAATTTAAAAAAAAACAAAAAAAACCCCCTCAAAAAACCCCACAATAGCCGTTTCAGTACTGTTTACCCAACATCTCGTTGGGTTTGGTATTTTTGTTTCAATTTTCATTCCTTTAGAAAAGTTTTTTTTTCCCATTAATTTCTACACTGACTTATAGATCATATAGTCGCATTGTTTTCTTTAAGAAGGTTTTTGATTTTCATTTCCTCAGCGACACATTGGTCATTCAGTAGCATGCCGTTTAACTGTATGTTGTAAATTTTCTATTTTTCTTCCTGTTAATTTTATTTTGTGGCTTTTTGTTTAAGAGGATGTGTAGTAACTGTGTAATAGAGATGACCATATCCAGATGTGAAGATATAATGCAGTATGCATCTCTACTTTAAAACCGAAGATGGATTCCCAATATAACTGTCAATCATATCTTGATGTACTCTCTGCCATTGTCCATGCGGTAATGTCAGGATACACTCTAATACCGGAATGATGGACTTAAAAAGTATTGATGAAGGACTGTGTTATTATAATTATATAGGGGAAATTGGTGGGAGAGGATTTGGGAAGGAGGGGAGGGACATCCCATAGCCTATGAAACTATATCACAAAATAATAAATATTTAAGAAAATTCTGCTAACACACCAGTGCCATTAGCAGAATTTTAAAGCACTTTTTCTTCTTGGTGCCCTATCTCTTTTTTTCTTCTATTCCTAAAATAAATAAAAATATTGATTAATAAATAAAAGATTCCAGAAATACAGAAAGTAGTAATTGAAAATTATCCCCCAACCCCTTTCCAAATACTGATGAATCAATTTTACCATCTTTGTTTCATGAAACTTGCTTCTACCTTGATCTGTCTCAGCTTTTAAAAATAATTTTCCAAGATTTCCACAGTAGGTTTTCCCTATTATTATATGGGTGTTCCAAAATTTATCTGTTCAGTCATCCCCTGTTGGTGGTAATTTGATTAGTATTCATGCAGATTGTAAAACTTACTCTCCAAAACACTGGGAACAACAGTGCGATTTCTCCATTTGATTACTGAACTGAATTCAGCATTTTCTTCAGGTGCAAGTAAAGTCTGGTCGTTCCTTATCTGTAACTACAAATGAGACTGAGCATCCTTTCATATGTTTGGCCATTTATGATTGACCTTTTTTATTCTTTTAAAATTATTTATTTTTACTTAAAAGACTAATTTGTATAGAGGAGAGAGAGAGAGAGAGAGGTCTTCCATCTGCTGGTTCTCTCTCTAAAAGAGCACAACAGCCAGAACTGAGCTGATCTTGAAGACCCAGGCCCAGGACCCCTGAGCTTCTTACTGGTCTCCTACATGGATGCACAGCCCATAACCTTGGGCTGTCCTCTGCTGCTTTCCCAGTTGGATCGGAAGTGGAGCAGCCGGCACACTGCAGGTGGTGGATTGGCTTGCTCTGCCACTGTACCAGCTCTAATCTCCCTATTTTCAAGTAGCATTTTCTCATAGTCTGTGCTTGTTTTTGTGCTGATCATCTCATTGTTTTAAAAGTATATTTTCTAATTTTTGCTATGTGTAATAATTTAGGACTTCTATAGCATTCGAGTTTTGTTAACATTTGTATTTTGGCACTTAGACTTACTTGTTCCAAAATTTTAAAAGCACGGTTTCATGTTTGTTAGTTTTATTTCCATTTGAAAAGCTTACTTATTAGGTTTAAATTCTAAATTCAGGTAGTATTAAACTTAGAAGAATGACTTCAGGTGCTTTTCTCAGTGGATACTCAGTTGAGCATATTTAAACTATGAAATATCTTTCCTTCCCTAATAATTACTTTAATACCTTTAGCTTATTAGAGATTAGAATTATCCAAACTCTTTATTTGCCTAGATATCTGTGTATTCCTACAGTAGTATTACAGTTTAATTTATTTTTTGGTCTGTAATTCAAGTTCCTATCTCAGATTATTTCTCCTGTCATTCATTGCCTTTCCTCAGTATTTTCCAGAGTATGTATTTATGCTTACACATCAAGGTGTACTTGAATAATTTTTGAAAACTTTATTTATTTTTGCATCTGTTTGGAAGGCAGGGTGATGGGAGAGGCTGGAAGAGAGAGAGAGACACAGAGACTGACTCATTGAGCTAGAGAGTACTGTGCCAGGCCCTAAAGTTTGGATTTTAGAACGCTGTCCTGGTGTTTTACCTGGGTTGGCAGGGGTGCGAGCTCCTGTGCCATCAGCATCTGCCACAGCCCAGAAAGCTGGAGCAGAAGCAGAGCACTGGGGACTTGCGCCAGCACTTCAGTCCCAGAAGCAGGCTTCCTAAGGGGTAACCTGCTCCATGAAACCTGTCCCAAGGATAATTTTAAGTTGCAAAAATTGGGGGATAGTTTATGACTTTAATGTTATTGATTAATTAAGAGTGATTGACATTTAAAGTGTTAAATGTCTCTCATGATTAAGTTTTCATATTTAAAAGTGTTTAAGCTAATAGTTAGAAATTATTGACACTTAGGGGCAGCATGTGATATTTAGAAGCATGTAGACATTGTGCAGGGTTCACTTCAGGATAGGCATAATTATCTCCTGTAATGTTCATCCTTTTTTTTTTTTTGGTGGAAATATCAAAATCCTGTTTTCTTGCTTATTTTAAGAATTATATATGTAGTCCATTACGATAGTCATTTTGCAATACCTAGAGCGTCTTTGCCCTAACCTTAATTTAGTGTCATCAACAGAGCTCGCATGATTTTGGTCTGTGTTTGGTCGTTAACTGTCAGTGTGGTCTTCCCTCCCATTGTGCGTTCAGAGTGGTTCCTATTTATGCAGCAAAACAGAAAATTCTAAATTTACAAGAGGATCATTTTGCTATTTGCCTAGCAGGGGATATGTTAGCAAGGAGATTTATTACGAACCCTACGTTTTCATCAAAAATGCTTAAAAGTAGACAATTTAAAATCAAAACGAACTCCTGATTTTTTTTTTAAATCACTTGTGCTTTTTTGCAGACCTTGCCGAAGATACTCAGCCATATTGCCCCGGCATTTTGCATGAGCAGCTGTAGCTTCGTAGTGGAAAAATCAAAGGAATCCACGGCGCGTGTTGTGGTTTGGAGAGAAATAGGAGTACAAAGAAGCTACACGATGGAGAGCACTCTGTGTGGCTGTGACCAGGGGAAGTACAAGGTAAAGCACCCTAGGACTCTGCTGTCCTGTAAACTTGTGGTGGCTTTCAAGTATGTAGTGAAAAATAGCTTGGTTTTGTTGAGTTACAAGTAAATTACGCGAATGGAGTTGAATCCCATGGGATCTCAAGAACAGGATTTTTTTTTCTTAGTTGCTTCTCTAAAGAGCTTGCTTAGAATGCCTAGTTTTCTGTTATTTGTGCCTACTTACATTTATAAATTTTAAGAAAAATATATCGGAGTGCACATTTAAATACAGATAGGTAATTTATACTGAATGAAGCATTAGCAACACAAATATTTAAATTTGTCGGGCATAAATGATGTATTAAAATTAAGCACAATTTGCTTGTTGATAAAGCAAGTGGTTTGTTATATTTAGACTTTACACGTGTCTTTTTAAAATTATTTATTTTATTTGAAAAATCAGTTACAGAGAAAGTGAGGCACAGTGAGAAATCTTTCATCCACGGGTTCATTCCCCAGCTGGCTGCTAGGCCCAACTGGACCCAAGAGCCAGGAGTTTCATCCGCATCTTCCACGTTATGTGGCAGGGTCCCAAGCACCTGGGCCATCCTCCACTGGTTTTTCTAGGCCATTAGCTGGAAGCTGATTTGGAATTGAAGCAGCTGAAACCCTAATTGATGCCCATGAGGGATGCCTGACTTTGCCAGAGGTGGAATAACCCACTGTGTCACATTGCACACCCCTTGTGCATGTCTTTGAAATGCAAATCCATCTTGAAATTTTTCACTCAGATAGTTTTCTTGTAATGTGTATAATTTTAATAGAGACATCCAGAGTATGCACTTAATTTTTGATATATAGAGCAGTAGAATGTTAGATAACTGAGTATTTTTAATTTTAAAGATTGAGGACTTACTGTGTTTTAGATAAACTTACTGTGTTTAGATTTATTGTGCTGTAGATAAAGAGTGGACAAACCTGATATTTTTTCTCCACGGCACACAAATATTTCCAAGTGTCTTACTGATTATTTCACTCTTTCAGTTTTTTTTTTTTTTTGCTTGCTTTTAATGGAAGAAAGGTACTGAATCTGATAATGGTTTGTTTTATTTATTTGAAAGGTACAGATAGAGAAAGGGAGGGTGGGAGAGACAGATCTTCCATATACTGGTTCACTCTCCAGATGGCTGCAATATCAAGGACAGGACCAAGATGAAACCAAGAGCCAGAAGCTTCTGGGTGCAGGAACCCAAGCACTTGGGCCATCCTCCACTGCTCTCCTAGGCTTGTCAGCAGAGAGCTAGATTGGCATAGAGCAGCTGGGACATGAATTGGTACCCATATGGGATTCTGGCATCCCAAGTGACAGATTTATGAATTATGCCACAGCACTGGCCCGTGGTAATGATTTTTTTTTTAATCTGTGTTTAATTTAATGAAAAGAGATAGTGATCTTCCATCCTCTGGTTCACTCCTTAAATGCTTCTGATAACTAGAAGAGCTTGAGGCAGAAACCAGGAGCCAGAAACCAAGTTGATATCTCCCATGTGGGTCTCAGAGACCCAAATACTTGAGACATGCTGCCTACCAGGGTGCAGATTAGCAGGAAGCTAGAATGGGGAGCAAAGCTGGGGTCCAAACCACGCCACTCTGGTATGAGATATGTGTATCCCAGATGTTGTTTTAACCATTGTGCCAAATGCTTGCCCCCAGATGATTCTGCTCCTTATACTGTACATAAATAGATGGTTATAACATGTGTTGGAAATGAGTTCAGTATCTAAGTGGTTAGTATTTAGAATGTAAACATGATAGTTCATGTCAAACATTTTTAAAAGCCTAAAAATGACTTTTTCAGTCTGCAGCAAATTGGAATTTGATTGTGTTGCACTATTTTGCAAAGATGTTCAGATTTTTTGGAGCCTAATAAAGGAGAACTTACTGACATTTCGGTACTTTCTTCCGAGCTACTCTTCCCTGAATTTGGGACTGAACACCGTGTGCTGCTTTTCCAGCTTATCATCCAAATATTGTACAGCCCCAGCTTCAAGTGACTCTGTCTCAGTAAGGAAGCGACGGTCTTAAGGGGCCTAGTGCCGTTTCCTCATTGCTGCTTCTGGTGCAGTACTTTTGCCAGGGATAAAATCATTAGAGTATCATTTCTGTATTAGGACTGCTGGGGAACCCCCAGGTGACAGCCTGGGACTGTGGAGAGCTGTATGCCATGAGGCTGGCCACGGTGACTGGAGACCTCCCTGTGGAGGAAGCGGCCCTGCAGAGGCAAGGAAGGAGCCAGGGAGAGCTCACCTGTGACTCCCACAAGGAGGGTGCGGTAGCTGTCTGTGGATCCCACTGGTACCCTTTCACTGGCTTTTTAAAAATATGTGTTGTAATAAATTTGGGCATTGAAAAAGTTTTTAAGAAAGCTAAAGTATGTTATGAAACAGGAACTGCTAAAAATGTTTTCTGGAGTTTATTTTTAACATGTAAATATATAAACCTTTACAAATGGGACATGTGACTGAAAAATACTCGTTTCTCTTTCATATGATTTACTTAATAGAAGGGTACGTTGGTCTAGAACATGCGGAGAGGAAGTGTGTCTTACCAAGTCAGGTTCTTCTTAGTGTGTGCAAGTCAAGGCTTTGGTGATGACACATACTATTGAAAATGATTAGCCTTCCCGTTTAGAGCAGGTTCAGGTTCGGAGGAAAATGGAATGCACAAGTGCAGAATTTCCATACACTCTGTCCCAAGACACACACGCCTGCAATGCATACCAAGTTTTAAACTTGTCGGCTGATATGCTTTATGAACCTAATGATGCTATAGGAAGCAGTCCGCCTCAGCCTGAACCATGTTTTCATGTCACGAATGTTAGGCTGTGAATATTTTTTCTTTTTTATGAACTAATTGAGAAGCGGGCATGGCCTTTCTACACTTTTTAAATTAAGCCCATTGCATGTTCCAATTAAGTCAACTGGGTTCTATTTTCTGGAATATTTGGGCCAGATTGTAAAGGCATTTGCATCACGTACTGTGAGTGATGGCTTTTTTTTTTTTTTACTGAAAAAGTTAATAGTTTATTATAATTTATTTTATTTAATAATCTAGGAAGTTCACAGCCATCAGCAGTTTCAAATCAATTTCAGGTGCAATTGGGAATTCATGAATCTCAGTGGAGCTGTTAGTATAGCAAACCTTGTAGGTAAACTACATGCATACTTTTTTTTTTAAGATTTATTTATTTTTATTGGGAAGATGGATATACAGAGAGGAGGAGAGACAGAGAGGAAGATCTTCAGTCCAATGGTTCACTCCCCAAGCGGCCACAACGGCTGGAGCTGAGCCAATCTGAAGGCAGGAGCCTCTTCTGGGTTTCCCATGTGGGTGCAGGGTCCCAAGGCTTTGGGCTGTCCTCGACTGTTTTCCCAGGCCATAAGCAGGGATCTGGATGGGAAGCAGGGCTGCTGGAATTAGAACTGGTGACCACATGGGATCCTGGCATGTGCAAGGCGAAGACTTTAACCACTGCACTATCGCACCAGGCACTACATGCATACTTTTGATAGCACATGGAAATTGACCTCATTGGTTTTGGTTTTGGCAAACTGACCTGGACCACTCAACATGGCTTTAATTGTTCCTGATGTTAGTTCATGTTCTCTTTTTACAATAGATTCATGACCATTAGAAGATATCAACTTGACATACATGGCATCAGGGTCTTCACAGCCACCATGGGTTTTCTCCTCTCCATTCATTATGTTCTTATGAAGTTCTACTTTGTTTCCACAGGAACTTCAGTATTTTCTCAGCAGCCCTACAGCGAGTGCAGCTACCACAGCCGGGTCCCCACAGCCCTTTAGCAGGGCCGCCCCCGCCCCTACCCGCTAAGTAATGGCTTTGACAGTTCATTTTCTTCAGTTACCACTTGCCATAGACTCTGTAGCCTCAACACCAAGGAGCTGTTCTGCAGTACCTTTCTCCCACTGCTGTTTGCTCTCATCCCCATGTACAGCTTTTTGTTGGTGTGAGAATTCCACTTGGCTTACCAGTTGGTTTTTATCTGCAAAATAAACAATATCTTAGTTTGCAGTCTTATGTTGATGCTTTTCTGTGGCGACAGTCAACTTTGGTAAACTTAATATTGTTCATTCAGAAACTGGTGGTTACAAAGGGAGAGACAAAGGTAAAATCATAGACAGAATTTTAAGTGGACATTAAATGAGATGGATCATAAATGCCTGTTAGTATCTCAGTGGTGGAGATTGATTTGATTCCATTTTTGACAGTTGTCTTTTTTTTTTAACTGACCAGTTTCTTCTACCACACAGTAAAAGTATCCTATAAGATATACTGAGAAATACATAATGGAGCCTTAATTTAATGTTGTAATGGTTCAACACTGGTGACCATAATAGCAGTTTAGAAGAAGTGTCACCAAGATCTTATTGAACATAGTTTAACATATTGACTGCAGGATGAACAGTCAGCACAAAATGTTGACCTATATTGTTTCCTGCCCAGTGTGTTGATGGAAATAGTGAATGATAATAGACATTTTAGCAATGCCTTATAAAACAGATGGTTTCTCTTATATCCTAGAATAACTGTGTAGAAGACATGATCCTAATGTCAAGTTCTAATTCCATACAACTAAAAAGTACCAACTTTTAAATTTTATTAATACAGATTCTTTGTGTCTAATTTTAATGCAATGTAACCAGAGAATAACAAACTTTCTCTTTTAAATTTTCTTTAAAGATCTACTTTATCTATTTGAAACACATGCTCAGGTCATCTTCTACTGCTTTCCTAGGCATACTAACAATGAAATGGGTGAGAAGTGGAACAACCAGAACTTGAACCAGTGCCCACTGGGATGCTGGTGTCACAGGCCAATGCTTAACTAGCCACTACCAACCAAGTCAGCCCTCAGCCATCAGCTGCTGCCTCCACACGGTGCACATGTCAGGATGCCAGAGTGGAGCTGGAACTGCGACCCCAGCTCCCTGCCGTGGGATGGAGGCATTCCAAGCAGTGTCTTTACAGCCAAGTCACATCAAACACCTGCCCCAGACTAAGTACATATGCAATGTTTGTTTATTCCTAGGGCTTACAGATTGGCACTCGAGAATTGGAAGAGATGGGAGCAAAATTTTGTATTGGTCTGTTGCGTTTGAAAAGATTGACATCCCCTTTGGAATACAATCTGCCTTCCAGCCTGCTCGACTTTGAAAATGACTTAATTGAGTCAAGTAAAGTAACTAGGTAGGACTCATTTATTTTTTCCATTTAGCATATAGAATGTACTTTGAAGCTATTTCAATATTGAATTTTGGAAAAATACATAGTTTTTTTTAAAGGTTTATATATTAAGATATAGAGATTTTAACTGCCAAGAGTATGCTTAATTTTATTCATATTTGTTCCAAACTGTGATAATATTCTTGATTCTCTTACTATTTTAGATGAGAGTTTAATGGGCATGTCTTGAAACTATTTGTGGTAATCTTACTAGCTTACTTCTAACTCAAACTGTTGCTCCTGGGGAATCTCTGAAGAATGGGCTTAGACCGAAAATTCATTGATCAAAAGAAACTTTTCTTTTGTTGCTGTATGCACACATATGTCTATCCAGTAACTTTCTGATTCGACATATTAGAAACAATTAAATTTAACATCCCTTTGAAAATCTGTTGCTGTCAGCTGCTCTTCGTAACAGCTGATCCTTTTCAAATTCAAAAGATGTAAGTTTTGTTTAGTTATGAGCTCAGTGTCATAATTCTAATCAGAATGCCAGATATATAGATAAAGGATAGTTCTATTTGAAAGAAACTTGAATCGTTTTGTTGTTAGGTGTTAACTTATCATCAACTTTGTTAATTTATTGGCATGTATTTTAATAGCTATCACTGTTATATATTGCAGCTTTAAATGTAGCTAAAACATTCATTGGAACCTCAGTACTTATACATGCGAGAGCTCAGACGTTGATCACCTGCGTTCTGTGTTCTTCAGTGAGCCTGCTGTAAATAATGGAAGGGAACAGGAAGATTGGCACTTTTTGCTAATACGTACAAGTCTCCTCTTAAGTTTTAATTTATGTAATCTTAATGCATAATCCACATATTACATTTCCTCAAATAACCTGAAATATCATTTAAGCTTAGTAAAGCTTCATAGCTATGTTTTGTTTTTTAGACCATGTCTTGGTCTTACTCTTTAAAGGAATGTACATATTTGTGTGTACACACACATATGCAAACACACACACACACATATATATAAATTCAAAAGCACATATTTTTTTTTTTTAAAGATTTATTTTTATTATTTTTTCATTGGAAAGGCGGATATACAGAGAGGAGAGACAGAGAGGAAGATCTTCCGTCCGATGATTCACTCCCCAAGTGAGCGCAACGGGCCGATACTATGCCGATCCGAAGCCAGGAGCCTCTTCCGGGTCTCCCGCGCGGGTGCAGGGTCCCAAAGCTTTGGGCCGTCCTCGACTGCTTTCCCAGGCCACAGGCAGGGAGCTGGAAGGGAAGCGGGGCTGCCGGGATTAGAACCGGCGCCCATATGGGATCCCGGGCGTGCTAGGCGAGGACTTAGCCACTTGCGCCACCGCGCCGGGCCCAAAAGCACATATTTTAAAGAAATCATCTGTACAGTTATATTACATTTGTTTTTTGCATTCTGGTAATTGTGTTTCAGTGTAATTGTTTTCCTTTATAATTGCACTTGTTTTATATATATTACTATCATTAGGAATGCACATACATCATCAGACTCTCGAGGATGACTGGCACAGAGATGGTTAAGAATTTCTACCCATCAGTGTATACATATAAAAATATTATTTGAATGAGCGCCAGTTAGAAATGGAAAGAATCTTGCCCTTAAATTACCTCCTGCTCCTTGTCCTTAGGTTAGCAGTCACTGCTTCCTCCATGCTGCCATTCTTGTTTCTGGATCTCAAGTGAATTTTCTGTTTATCTCCCAGCTTTTCCTCGAGTTCTGTATCGTGATGCTTTTCAGGTCCTAAGTCCTCGGGCTGTGCCTGCCTGCCTTTCCTGAGCGTTGTGTCTAAGTTCTGCCAGTCTAGCAGGAATGCCACGGCTCTGTTCTTCTCCCTACATCCTGTAGTGATGTACAGACGTGCCGTGCTCCCTTCCTCGAGTTGTTTCTTGAACTCTCAGCTAAGGTGGTGTCTGTCAAGTTTTTTTTGCTGCAGAATTACCCTTCACCCATCACTAAGCATTTTTATTGGTGCATATTTCGAAGCAGTGCCCATGTTTGAGTTCTTAAGAAACGTTCAGTGTCTTCATTTTAAAATTTACATGTATTGGCTTATGACCTAACAGTTTTAATTCCATGAGTTTTTTTTCCAGTTACAATTATTTATATTGAAACTCAGACATGCGCAACTTTGGCCCCTTTTGAATAGATGCTCTGAGTTTCTGACGTATTCCCATTGTTCTCCAAGGACTTTCTCTATGGCACAGAAGCCTTTCCTGACTCATCCTGATCCGTAATGTTATCCTAGGATTGGAATCCGCCATCTCATCAAGGTTCTTTGATTGCTTTTGTTGTAACTCGGTACTTCTGTGTCAGCCTCCAGAGCCGTTGTGTTGTCTTCGTGGAGTCCCTGCTCCCAAGTCCACTCAGTAAATATGTACACACACGGCATGGACCTAAACTGAGAAATCGTGAGTTCCTAGTGATACCTTTCATTCCACTTCTATAACTAAACGTTCAGGCTGCTTTTCAGATGTCTAGCTCCTTCTGAAGCAGTGAGAATCCTGGTTGTCATTCCCATGATTATTTTTACTTGCTTGGTCAACCTGCCTGTTTGTAGTGGGTCTCTCATCTCCATGTGTCTTTGTCACCCGGTACAAGCTCCAACACCCTCAGAGGGGGGAGCTTTTCCTGGTCACAGAATGATTGTCTTCTCCTCATGGGTCCTGGCTTCTACTGTTCACCACAAACCTACCGGAGGCAGGATGTCGAGACCCCGTGAGAAGCAGAGGAGTGGCACCCGGGTGCAGAACTCCGTGCCCTGAGCGAGCCCACGGTGTCAGGGAAGGAGCCAGCTCGCCTTTGTGCACAGGAACGGTTGTGGCTATGCAAGAAGATGGTTAAAAATCACAGACCAAAATTGAGTTCCTGGGTGAATACTGGAAGATTGGGCTGGAATTATCTGAATATTTCCTTCAGGCTACAACCTAAGCAACAAGGGCTGGCAAAGAAATAGCAACTGAACATGGAGTAAACAAAGTCAGCAATGGGTAATAGACTAATTGAGGTGAGGCGGAAAGGCTTATTGGGGGCTTAGAACAGCTAAAATTGAAGAATCCAGGAAGCCAGCATTTGGTTCTATGCTAAAAGAGTGTGGGTTTTACGGAAGATGTAGTAAACATGTACTTGTTTTGTCTTTACGATTTTTTATTAATTTAAAAGGCAGAATGATAGAGAGGGACAGAGAGCTTCCATCCACTGGTTCATTCTCCAAATGACGGCAACAGTCAGAGACAGGACAGGCCTGGTCTAGGACAAATCCAAGAGTGAGTATGCAAGCTCAAGGACTTGGAGTGCCTTCTGCTGCCTTCCCAGGGTCCCTGGTAGGGAGCTGGTTTAGAAGTGGAGTTGTCGGGCCCGGCGCAGTGGTGCAGTGGTTAAGGTCCTTGCTTTGCATGCCTGGGATCCCATATGGGCGCCGGTTCTATTCCAGCAGCCCCACTTCCCTTCCAGCTCCCTGCCTGTGGCCCGGGAAAGCAGTCTAGGACGGCCCAAAGCTTTGGGACCCTGCACCCACGTGTGGGAGACCCGGGAGAGGCTCCTGGCTTCAGACCGGCATAGCATCAGCCGTTGCACTCACTTGGGGAGTGAATCATTGGACAGAAGATCTTCCTCTCTGTCTCTCCTCTCTGTATATGTGCCTTTCCAACGAAAAATAATAATAATAAAAATAAATCTTTAAAAAAAAAAAAGAAGTGGAGTTGTCAGGACTAAGCCAGTGCTCATATGGAATGCTGACATGGCAGGCAGAGGCTTAACCCACTGCACCAAAACAACCCCCACCCCTCATGTTTAAGATTTATTTATTTATTTGGAAGTCAGAGAGAGAGAATAGATTTGTTATTAGCATTTTGTTTCTGTAGTTTCCAAATAATATGGGTGAATTAACGAAGGGGAATGAGGGGAATTCTGCTTGTAGACTGAAAGGAATCCCATCTTGCTTCAGAAGTTTAGATGGAATCATTGGTTTATACTTGTTGCTTCAACGTCTGTGTGTGTGTGTGTTTTCAGATTATTTTTATTCATTTCAAAGGCAGAAAGAGAGACACAGAGAGAACTTCTATCCACCGAGTCATTCCACAAAAGCCTCAGCAGCCAGAGCTGGCTCAGGCTGAAGTCAGGAGCTGGGTGCCCTCTCTGCATGTCAGGAGTCCAGCTGCTTGAGTAGGCAGATCAGGGAGAGAAAGAGAGATCTGCCAGTTTACTCTCCAAATGGCCACAACAGCCCTAGGCGCCAGGAGCTTTGTCTGGGTCTCCCACCTGGATGGGGGCCCAAGGACCTGGACCATTTTCCAGGTCATTAGCAGTTGGCTCAAAAGTGGGACATCTGGGATGTAGACTGATAACTCCATAGGATGGGGTTGTAGCCGTTCTCTTAATGTGCTGTGCAAAAGCATTGGCCCTTAGAGTCTTCCATAGCTTTTTTGCAATTCAGTATCCAGTTTTTGCCCTTCCACAGACTTTTTCAAGGGAGATTTTGATTTTCACATTTTAAATTTTTATGTGTGTTTTTGCTTTGTATTTTCTTGTTTATTTTATGGCTGTTACCCTTTCTTTGAAAACCCTAAAGTTGTTTGTGAATTTCACTGTGTAATCTTACTGTGTCAGTGAGTTCTTGTGAGCCTCTGCAGGTCATTGACTCATGGGGAGTCTCTGGGGTTACAGTACTTCAGCCTGGTCTTCAGAAGGGCTCCAGTCCAAGTCTGTGTCATTTTTTGGTATAATGACACCAGCCCTCCATTAGCATACTAGTAGTCTTTTGCCCACTTTTGAATGACTAGGAGAATTGCAGAATTACTAAGTTCAAAAGTTTTTTGGCTGTGACTCTCTGTATTCGTTCAGACTTTGTCATTTCACATTTATGAAATCTTTCCTTTCTAACGTGGGAATCTTCTCTCCAGCTCCTGGATTCACTAATCTGGGATTAGTTTCCTCCTCTGGGGCACTGTGTATGCCTTCAGGACCTACTT